TCGCCAGACCCCGAGTACTCGCGGGACAACCGCTACCAACCAGCAACCAGATGTGACAACTTCACCATGCAAGAGGGAGACTCGCCTCCAGCGGCAGACGAGACTCCAGAGTTGTCGGAGGCGGAGCAGGTCAAGATCTTGATGGCGAGCAAGAAGGGACGTCTAGTCTTGCAAAACGGCGACGTAGTCGAGAATGGCAGACTCCTCATCGCAGACCCTACGGACGAAATGGAAAAAGGCTTAACACCTCTATCTCCGGTGTTAACCCATTGGCTGAAGACGTTCAAGTCTTACATACCCTTAACGGCTTTCAACCGAATCTTCCTCCTCGATGACCAACAAGAGTGGAGTCGTCGGAAAGCCCCCGCCGGCTCCAAAATAGACGACGGTGCCGCCTCATTACGCGTCTACGGCGGACCCCCTCCCCCCGAAGAACTCACCATGCAGTTCGAGCATTGGATCGACGCCATGGCCCTATTCATCAAATATGTGGCAGAAGCTGGTTGGACAACGCTGGCAGAGCGTTTCAAAGGCCATCGAGACGTGGTGATGGGCTTACGTGATAACTATGGTTGGATGGTCGCCCTTCGATACTGCCGTCGCCTGCGTCAAGGAGTAATGCGCGAAACTATTGACAACAAGATCAAGAATTTCAGTAAATTGCAATCCGCGATCTTCGACGAGGCTAAGCTAATCGCAGACTCAATGCAAGAGAGGGCCTACCGATCGAACCCTTACGCACCAGACGGCCCGCTGTGCCACATCAACCCGTTGACCGGCGTGGCGAGACCATCCTCCTCGAAGAAGACCACCACGGAACAAGCGGGATCGACTGGTACAGCCAGAACCACTGGGGTGGAAGGCGGTTACTCCAGAAAGACGAAACGCAACTGGGTTCCAGACGACATGTGGAACAAGATGTCCTCAGAAGAGAAGAGAAATGCCCACAAGTCATCGGCCTCCTCCTCCCACCGCTACCAAGGCTATCGAGGAAGAGATGACGACGGGTATAGGGGAAGGGGGCGTAACGACTATGATGATAGAGGGCGAAATCGTCGCAGAAGCCGCTCGCGTAGTCGAAGTCCTAAGGGAGAAAGGCGTAAAGGCCGGGGCGGTCGTAATGCGTGAGCAACAAATGTTATCGTTTTCGAAATGAATTGAAATTACAGCCAAACACGGCAGGCAATCGTGCAGAAGTGTTGCCATGAGCTGAACGTGTCCCCTGAGTACATAGGAAATGTGAGAAACACCACTTACCCTGACTTGCCATGCCTTCACCCGTCTAGATGCCCACGCGCGTTTGTTGAGCCACCTGCACCAGCCTTGCCTTATGAACCCACAAGAGTAGCTTGCGAGATGAACCTGCCGGTGTGGAAGCAGGAGTTAGCCCGTGCAGGCCTACTCCCCAGGCTTAACAATATTCTACACGGTCTGGTTCACGGTTTTGACCAAGGCATAAAGAAAGCCTACGTCCAGGGCGTACCTTTCTTCTGTCCTCCGAATCACACGTCAGCGCTAGCCGCAAAAGATAAGATCAAAGAGTCCTTCCGAGTAGAACTGGCTGCCGGAAGGATGGAAGGCCCCCTCTCGAAAGAAGAGGCCTACAGGCGCTTCGGTTTCTTCAGGACTAGCCCGCTGGGGGCAGTCGTGAATGGAAATGGCTCCACTCGGCCGATAAACGACCTATCATTTCCCAAGAGGGACCCATACGTTTGCTCGGTGAACGCAGATGTCGACAAAAACGACTTCGAAACCACCTGGGACGACTTCAACGCAGTCGCCAGGTTTCTTGGTTGTACTAAGGAGGCAGTGGAGTTAGCTATATACGACTGGGCTAAGGCATATCGCCAAATACCCACGTCACCCGACCAATGGAGGTTTTTGATGCTACTCACGTTTGATAACCAAATCCTGATTGATAAACGCATAACCTTCGGCGGTGTCGCAGGCTGTGGAAGCTTTGGCCAAGTAGCGGACGCTTGGAAGGCGGTGGTGATGGCGAGGTTCCCCCTGTTGAATGCATTCCGCTGGGTGGACGACACCATGTTTGTGCGGAAGAGAGGGCAGAATCCTTCGGTCACTTTGGACGACATATCGTCCTTGAGCTCCAGGATGGGCATCGTCGAGAACAGGGAGAAACGCCATGAATTTGCCGAGGAACAGCAGTACCTAGGGTTTATATGGAACGGCACAGATAAGACCGTCAGGCTCCCGGATACAAAAATCGCAGAAAGACACGACGAGGTCGTGGAATTTCTGAGCAGAAAGTCACACACCTTCAAACAAGTCGAGCGCCTGGCGGGCCGCTTAACTCACACCTCAATGATCCTCCCACACCTCAAATGCAACTGCGTTGACATTTACCACTGGATGGCTGAGTGGCACAACAAATTAGCGAAACGAGACATCCCCGAAAGTGTAAGACTCGACTACAAT